CTGTGGTTGTGGAGGAGAGGTTGTAGGAAACGTGTTTGTGGAGGAGGGGTTGTAGGAAGCGTGGTTGCGGAGGAGAGGTTGTAGGAAACGTGTTTGTGGAGGAGAGGTTGTAGGAAATGTGGTTGTGGAGGAGGGGTTGTAGGAAACGTGTTTGTGGAGGAGGGGTTGTTGGAAGCGTGGTTGCGGAGGAGAGGTTGTAGGAAATGTGTTTGTGGAGGAGGGGTTGTAGGAAACGTGGTTGTGGAGGAGAGGTTGTAGGAAATGTGTTTATGGAGGAGAGGTTGTAGGAAATGTGTTTGTGGAGGAGGGGTTGTTGGAAATGTGTTTGTGGAGGGGAGGTTGTAGGAAACGTGGTTGCGGAGGAGAGGTTGTAGGAAATGTGTTTGTGGAGGAGGGGTTGTAGGAAACGTGGTTGTGGAGGAGAGGTTGTAGGAAATGTGTTTATGGAGGAGAGGTTGTAGGAAATGTGTTTGTGGAGGAGGGGTTGTTGGAAGCGTGGTTGCGGAGGAGAGGTTGTAGGAAATGTGTTTGTGGAGGAGGGGTTGTAGGAAACGTGTTTGTGGAGGAGGGGTTGTTGGAAGCGTGGTTGCGGAGGAGAGGTTGTAGGAAATGTGTTTGTGGAGGAGGGGTTGTAGGAAACGTGGTTGTGGAGGAGAGGTTGTAGGAAATGTGTTTATGGAGGAGAGGTTGTAGGAAATGTGTTTGTGGAGGAGAGGTTGTAGGAAACGTGGATGCGGAGGAGGGGTTGTAGGAAATGTGGTTGTGGAGGAGGGGTTGTAGGAAATGTGGATGCGGAGGAGAGGTTGTAGGAAACGTGGTTGTGGAGGAGAGGTTGTAGGAAACGTGGATGCGGAGGAGAGGTTGTAGGAAATGTGGTTGTGGAGGAGAGGTTGTAGGAAACGTGGTTGCGGAGGAGGGGTTGTAGGAAACGTGGTTGTGGAGGAGAGGTTGTAGGAAACGTGGTTGCGGAGGAGAGGTTGTAGGAAACGTGGTTGCGGAGGAGGGGTTGTAGGAAATGTGGTTGTGGAGGAGGGGTTGTTGGAAGCGTGGTTGCGGAGGAGAGGTTGTAGGAAATGTGTTTGTGGAGGAGAGGTGTAGGAAATGTGGTTGTGGAGGAGGGGTTGTTGGAAGCGTGGTTGCGGAGGAGGGGTTGTAGGAAACGTGGTTGTGGAGAGAGGTTGTAGGAAATGTGTTTATGAGGAGAGGTGTAGGAAATGTGGTTGTGGAGAGGGGTTGTAGAAACGTGTTGTGAGGAGGGGTGTTGGAAGCGTGGTTGCGGAGGAGAGGTGTAGGAAATGTGTTTGTTGGAGGAGGGGTGTAGGAAACGTGGTTGTGGAGGAGAGGTTGTAGGAAATGTGTTATGGAGGAGAGGTTGTAGGAAAGTGTTTGTGGAGGAGGGGTTGTTGGAAATGTGTTTGTGGAGGGGAGGTTGTAGGAAAGTGGTTGCGGAGGAGAGGTTGTAGGAAATGTGGTTGTGGAGGAGGGGTTGTAGGAAACGTGGTTGTGGAGGAGAGGTTGTAGGAAATGTGTTATGGAGGAGGGGTTGTAGGAAATGTGGTTGTGGAGGAGGGGGTTGGTTGGAAGCGTGGTTGCGAGGAGAGGTTGTAGGAAATGGTTTGTGGAGGAGGGGTTGTAGGAAACGTGTTTGTGGAGGAGGGGTTGTTGGAAGCGTGGTTGCGGAGGAGGGGTTGTAGAAATGTGGTTGTGGAGGAGGGGTTGTAGGAAAAACCACCCCCTACATGGTTGGGAGGAGAGGTTGTAGGAAATGTGTTATGGAGGAGAGGTTGTAGGAAATGTGGTTGTGGAGGAGGGGTTGTAGGAAACGTGGTTGTGGAGGAGGGGTTGTAGGAAATGTGGTTGTGGAGGAGGGGTTGTAGGAAATGTGGTTGCGGAGGAGGGGTTGTAGGAAACGTGGTTGCGGAGGAGAGGTTGTTGGAAACGTGGATGCGGAGGAGAGGTTTGTAGGAAATGTGGTGTGGAGGAGAGGTTGTAGGAAACGTGGTTGTGGAGGAGAGGTGTAGGAAACGTGGTTGTGGAGGAGAGGTTGTGGAAACGTGGTTGCGGAGAGAGGTTGTAGGAAACGTGGTTGCGGAGGAGGGGTTTAGGAAATGTGGTTGGGAGGAGGGGTTGTTGAAGCGTGGTTGCGGAGGAGAAGGTTGTAGGAAATGTGTTTGTGGAGGAGAGGTTGTAGGAAATGTGGTTGGGAGGAGGGGTTGTTGAAGCGTGGTTGCGGAGGAGGGGTTGTAGGAACGTGGTTGTGGAGGAGAGGTTGTAGGAAATGTGTTTATGGAGAGAGGTTGTCTCGTTGTAGGAAATGTGTTTGTGGAGGGGAGGTTGTAGTAAATGTGTTTGTGGAGGGGAGGTGTAGGAATGTGTTGTGGAGGAGAGGTTGTTGGAAATGTGTTTGTGGAGGAGAGGTGTAGGAAAACGTGGTTGCGGAGGAAGAGGTTGTAGGAAATGTGGTTGTGGAGGAGGGGTTGTAGGAAACGTGGTTGTGGGGAGAGGTTGTAGGAAATGTGTTTGTGGAGGAAGAGGTTGTAGGAATGTGTTGTGGAGGAGGGGGTTGGTTGGAAGCGTGGTTGCGGAGGAGAGGTTGTAGGAAATGTGTTTGTGGAGGAGGGGTTGTAGGAACGTGTTTTGGGAGGAGGGGTTGTTGGAAGCGTGGTTGCGGAGGAGAGGTTGTAGGAAATGTGTTTGTGGAGGAGGGGTTGTAGGAAACGTGGTTGTGGAGGAGAGGTTGTAGGAAATGTGTTATGGAGGAGAGGTTGTAGGAAATGTGTTTGTGGGGAGAGGTTGTAGGAAACGTGGATGCGGAGGAGGGGTTGTAGAAATGTGGTTGTGGAGGAGGTTGTAGGAAACGTGGTGCGGAGGAGAGGTTGTAGGAAATGTGGTTGTGGAGGAGAGGTTGTAGGAAACGTGGTTGTGGAGGAGAGGTTGTAGGAAACGTGGTTGCGGAGGAGAGGTTGTAGGAAATGTGTTGTGGAGGAGGTTGTAGGAAACGTGGTTGCGAGGAGAGGTTGTAGGAAATGTGGTTGTGGAGGAGAGGGTTGTAGGAAACGTGGTTGTGAGGAGAGGTTGTAGGAAACGTGGTTGCGGAGGAGGGGTGTGGTTGTGGAGGAGAGGTTGTAGGAAACGTGGTTGCGGAGGAGGGGTTGTAGGAAACGTGGTTGTGGAGGAGAGGTTGTAGGAAACGTGGTTGCGGAGGAGAGGTTGTAGGAAACGTGGTTGCGGAGGAGGGGTTTGTAGGAAATGTGGTTGTGGAGGAGGGTTGTTGGAAGCGTGGTTGCGGAGGAGAGGTTGTAGGAAATGTGTTTGTGGAGGAGAGGTTGTAGGAAATGTGGTTGTGGAGGAGGGGTTGTTGGAAGCGTGGTTGCGGAGGAGGGGTTGTAGGAAACGTGGTTGTGGAGGAGAGGTTGTAGGAAATGTGTTTATGGAGGAGAGGTTGTAGGAAATGTGTTTGTGGAGGGGAGGTTGTAGGAAATGTGTTTGTGGAGGGGAGGTTGTAGGAAATGTGTTTGTGGAGGAGAGGTTGTTGGAAATGTGTTTGTGGAGGAGAGGTTGTAGGAAATGTGTTTGTGGAGGAGAGGTTGTAGGAAATGTGTTTGTGGAGGAGGGGTTGTAGGAAACGTGGTTGTGGAGGAGAGGTTGTAGGAAACGTGTTTGTGGAGGAGAGGTTGTAGGAAACGTGGTTGCGGAGGAGAGGTTGTAGGAAACGTGGTTGTGGAGGAGAGGTTGTAGGAAACGTGTTTGTGGAGGAGAGGTTGTAGGAAACGTGGTTGCGGAGGAGGGGTTGTAGGAAATGTGGATGCGGAGGAGAGGTTGTAGGAAATGTGGTTGTGGAGGAGAGGTTGTAGGAAACGTGTTTGTGGAGGAGAGGTTGTAGGAAACGTGGATGCGGAGGAGGGGTTGTAGGAAATGTGGTTGTGGAGGAGGGGTTGTAGGAAATGTGGATGCGGAGGAGAGGTTGTAGGAAATGTGGTTGTGGAGGAGAGGTTGTAGGAAACGTGGTTGTGGAGGAGAGGTTGTAGGAAACGTGGTTGCGGAGGAGAGGTTGTAGGAAATGTGGTTGTGGAGGAGGGGTTGTAGGAAATGTGGATGCGGAGGAGAGGTTGTAGGAAATGTGGTTGTGGAGGAGAGGTTGTAGGAAACGTGGTTGTGGAGGAGAGGTTGTAGGAAACGTGGTTGCGGAGGAGAGGTTGTAGGAAATGTGGTTGTGGAGGAGGGGTTGTAGGAAATGTGTTTGTGGAGGAGAGGTTGTAGGAAATGTGGTTGTGGAGGAGGGGTTGTAGGAAATGTGTTTGTGGAGGAGAGGTTGTAGGAAACGTGGTTGCGGAGGAGGGGTTGTAGGAAATGTGGTTGTGGAGGAGGGGTTGTTGGAAGCGTGGTTGCGGAGGAGAGGTTGTAGGAAACGTGATTGTTGCTGTTGTAGGGGTTGTAGAATTGTAAAAGGTGGTGTGATGTGGTTGATTTAGATTAGTGTATATGTAAATACGTGTGTATGTATGTGTGCATTTAGATATGTAACACATATGTAGATATATCTAAACATACAAATAGATACACATGTACGCAAAAATAACATGGAAATGATAATAAATGCACTTATATACATAAAAAACATACACAAGATAGGTTCATATTTTCTTAATGTTTTATATCTTTACAGATATTTAGATGTGTGTGAGTTATAATGAATAACATTTATATGCAAAAGGCATAAATATATTGTTTAGAGAAAATTAGAACTAGAATTAAATTGCAGTAAAGATTTGAATTACGTGTCATATGAGGGTGCTGTTCGACTTGAATATCTCAGGTTATGATCAGGCGAAGATTAGCTTTCATGACAATACGGCACGTGCTAACATCATAGCATCACTATGCCATACGGTGTCATAAGATTATACAGGCTTTGAGGCTTTTGAGATCTGTGGCTTGCCTTGCTATAATATACGATAAAATACTACTTAAACTGCTAATTTACTATTTTTAAAATCTAT